TGGCCTAGGTACACCTCCCCTGGGGCCTGAGGGGGGCCCAGTGAGGGGGCTGATCCAGTCCTTACTCAGGAAAATGGAGGCAAAGTAGTCATTAAATAGGTTAGCTTTGTCATCTGGTGTGACAACCAGCTTTCCTAGCATTTCTTGCAGATGCCCCACATTACCTGGTACCTTCTTTTTGGTCCCTACATATTTAAAAAAGAAGGACTTCTTGTTGTCCTTGATCCAGGAAACTAGTCCCAGTTCCATCTCCGTCTTGGCCTTCCTGACCACCCCCCAGAAGCCCTGAGCAACCACAGTATAGTCCTCCCTGGTGATGGCCCCTCCCTTCCAGCTAGGAGACAATCCCGGATGCTTTTGGTGAGCCATGGGGGCTTTTGCACCCTCCTGCTCTCTTTGGTCCGTGTTGGGATTACCTCCCTTTGGGCTTGGAGGATTGTCTCCTTAAGGACTGACCACTCTTCTTGAACACCTGGCTCCCCTCCCCCTTGTGAACAGTCTTTACTTTTCTCAACCTCTTTGAGATGCATCCCAATTTTGGATGGCTTCTTCACTCTGACACAGACAAGTTCTACCAAAACAGAAGCAGGAAGACAACACTGTAGCTGCACCAGGGCTTTCCACAGCAGAGGAAGGGTTAAGACTATTTGTCAGTTTTAACCCTCCCACAGCCGCTGCTGAACTGGCAGTTGTTTCTGGCTGAGCAGCAGCTGTAAGGGTTAAACTGTAGCTTTTGCCTGGGCAGAGTCCACCAGGATTCAGTCATTACTTCGGGGGTAGGAAGTAAAGTTTTCCCTATTGTTCTGCTTTCCCAAATCAAGGAGCACTAGACATGGATGGGGACACACAGTACTATTTGTAAATTGGTCTGGCTCTTATGCAAGATGTTGACACTGCTGCCAGGGTGGCAGCCAGGAAAACAACTGCCCCATGCACAAAGCTGTGGAACATGAGCACACTCCCCGATAACTAGAGGTGTACTGATATAATTGGTCCGATATAAAGAAAACTGGCTACATCAGATATCAGCCCAGTGGGGCCGATACATGCCTGTGCTGTACGTAGCCAAAGCGCAGCACTCAGACAGCAAGGAGCACAGCTGGCAGCGTGGGCAGCTGCCTCCAGCTGGTAAGTCCATCATGATGGAAGGGGAGAGGGCAGGGGTTTAGATTAATGCTCCCCACAGTGAGAGAGGGGGCAGGGTGTCTCCCACTGCTGCTTGCACCCCAGAAGAGCAGGTGGTGTGCAGCAGGCAGCCCTACAGCTGGGGCTGTGCAGGGCTCTGCTCACCAGGGGCTGGGCTTAGAGCAGGTGCCAGTGGTGCTGGGAGGATGCTACATCCACCCTAAGTTTCATCACTGCTCTGCTCCCAGCACCGCCCCAGCCGTGAAGCAAAGTTTGGGGTGGATGCAGCATCCTCCCACTGGCACCTGCTCCGAGCCCAGCCCCTGCCAAGAAGAGCCCCGCGCAGTCCGCCCTGCCCTGATCCAGGGGGTACACCCCCCCCACCCCATGCCCTCCCAGGGTCCAAGCAGCAGCAGGAGCTGCCTTCCTTCCCCCCCTGCCTAGGCAGTGGCTACCCCTGCCCCCTCCCTCATGGCAGGGGGTCGTTATCTACCCCTTCACACCCCTTCCCTCCCCATTGGACTTGCCAGCTGGAGAGACCTGTATTGGAAATCCGATCAGTATTGGCTGATATGCCTCCTTAAATATTGGCTATTGGTATCAGCCCCCAAAATCTCTATCAGTGCACCCCTACTGATGACCCAAAAGCAGGCAGGAGAGCCAGCTCATGCTGCAGCCTCTCTTAATTCAGCTGCATCCCCCTCCACCCCCAGCTTCTCCTGGGGAACAAGGTGCACAGGAGGTAGAACCGTTTTGCACAGCAGCTTTCCAAGAGAAAATACAAAGATGCAAGTGCTAGAGAGATCAACTGAAAAAAAGAAGTCAAATTTAAACATCAGATGGGGGGGGGGG